AAAACATCTAAAAATCCAACATTTTTTATTGCTTCATTATCTACTCCTTCTGGATCATCAGCTGGAGGATTAATAGCTGCATTTAGTTCAAACGCTAGTCCAGATAATTTTAGTGTTAAGATCATCAGTATGAGATTTGTATGAGTTGATGGTACTGGTAAACCAATATAATCCCCTAATCGAGATATAACAAGTAGAAAGAAGAATGAAAAGATAAAGCTGACAATATGAGATTTCCTGCAAATAACAACAAATTGAGAAATGACATTAACTAGTTTTATAAAAGAATGGAATATGAACAGAAAATTTATAAGGAGCGTTTATTATTAAAAAAATTTTGTTTGTTTTATGTTACATAATATTAAGTAGGAAGTGATAATAAATTTTTGCATCTCACATAAAATAAAATGATAAACACTAGTTCAAAGAACGGGGATTTTCTTTATATTAATATTTCCATTCGGCAATCAAGTTACAATTGGTGGTAATTTGATACTTAACAAGCACTAATTATGTCTTTTAAGAATAGTGCATTATTGAGATATATATATCTAAAAATGACACAGTTAATTTGATCTGTACATTTGTAATTTTAGATAAGATCGAAATATAAGAAAATCATATCGTACAAAGTAAGTAGATACGATGACATTATCAAAAATAATTTTAAAAATATTTCACTTAAAATTGAGTTAATAATTTTGACACATTATGACACACAATTGATAAGCTAAAACGCTCCTTGCTTAAATCGACAAATAAATATAATTAACGAATTAATATATCATACTTTGGTGAGATGTTGGTTATAATAATAGCGTTAATCAGAGAAAAAACCAAAGGGAAAAGTATATAACTTCCTGAGACAACTCCTGTTAATAGGATGCCAATTAACGTGCCGGTCCATTTCTTCACCTCTGGATCTTCTATTTTTCGATAATAAAACCCGACGAATACACAAAACAACAACAGTGTGACGTAAACTACATCCGTCCACATCGTATCAGCTCAGTTGTAGAAACTTTACTGTGTCTTCTTTCTATCCTATCCCATTTCCTCCGTCCCACCGACTACAGTTAAATTGTACGTAATCAAATCGGTGAACTTTGTACGTTAATAAATCGGATATTATTACTATACAATTACTAAAAAATTTTGGTGATTTGCATTTATTCACAAGCTTCTTTTTTTATTTAAATTTCGGTAATTTGTAATTTAAATGATAGAAACATTCGACCGTATATCTTTGCTTCTCTTGTAAATTACAGACAAATGCAATATGTATATCATTGATTTTTTGCTGAGTCAATAATTTAGCAGGGCGTAGTTATATTTACTAAAGTAATTTAAATAATAATTATATATAATTTAAAAACTAAATATTAGGAACATCTTTCTTTGCAGATTGCAAGTAAACATAATATTTTATTGATTATTTTGTTGAATTGTCAACTTAGTAAAATAAGATTATATGTCAGGTGGGAGATATTGAATAATAATGCAGGTATAGTTTAGTTATTGTAATAATTATATTTATGTATAATTAAACAAGGATATTTCCATCAAACGCATTCTGTAAATGCGCGAATTGATTCATTCAATTAGTATCAATATGAAAGTAGATTTTTTAACTGTTCATCATTGTTAATGTAATAATAGCTGTGACATCAAATATTTTTTAATTGACTCGAGTTAAAACGTTCTAGGATTTTTTGCCAAGAGCTTTTTGCCTAAGTTCCGTTTTCCTCTGAAGAGCGAGTTCTTTTTGTTTCTTTTCAGCTTCTCGCTTTTTAGCTGCTTCCTCCCGTTGTTGTTTAACTATAGCTAATCGTGCTAGATCCGCGCGTGCTTCTTCCGTTTTACCTGCCGCGTGTAATTTCTGATAGTTTGCATATGCTCTCTGCCTTTCTAGTTGTTCCCTAAAAAAGAAGAGAAAAGTGAGTTCTCCAATCTTTACATGTTACGAACTTCTGTATGTTTCATTGATTTTTACCGTTCTCTACGAGATAAATCTGGTTTTGCTGTGTCTAATGATTGATTTAATTGAGATAATTTTTTTGCTTTCTTTTGTACCCTATTTGGATTTTCAACTTGAATTAAATTTTCTACACCCTTTGTCTTTCCCTGCAAATTAAAAGAAGAAAGGAAAATTATCATTTATCGATTATTATAAATCTCTATCGATTAATTTACCTCAGTTTCCGATTCTGATTCTGAGTCGCTGTTGGTATCTGTCCCCGAGGAACTATTATTTTTTACTGAATCACCGTGTGCTTTGGGTTCATCTTCCTCATCACTTGAACTATCCTTTCCTTTGTTCTTCTAAAAAAACAATATCATTATAACTTTTAAATATGAAGGGTTTCGTTTACATTAATGAATTTTTATTTACCAGCCCCCTAAGTAAAATTTATGTTACATTTTTCGAAAGAACAAATGCAAGTGGAAAGAACAGATGAAACAAATCATCTAAGGATCTATCCATCGCTTTTGAGTCTTAAGAATTTTCTGAAGGTTTGTGCCCGGTTCTCTCAAACGGTTGCACATGGAGCATCGTGCTCCATGAAAAATCTCAGTAATGGTGCGCACAATCACGCTCAACCGTCAAAGGATAATTCGACCTTACGTACTTAATAATAATATCTAAGCCGTCGTGCTGTTGGTTAACTTAAAAATACTGACTCTCCACTGGAGCTTTTTTTCCTCCTGGCGTCGTTGCTCCTCCAGTTCCTCGGGGTTAGTGAAGTGACGACTCCGGCCTTTGTAACTGACATATTTACCTAAAGGAAAGCCGTCTTTTTAGATCCAAATTCGTTCGTCGAGGTCATAACATACGAAATTGCGTTTTTCTCGCCAAGAAATGTGGTGGGGAAGAAATGATGATAACTGTGTGTGTCGAGTGTGAAATAAATAATAATTTGTCCGTGCTTACCGCGTGGCATTTTTTCGAACCAATTGATCACGTCAATTTAATGATTTTTGTACGGAAATTTGAAGGAAAATACCTCTTCTCCGCTGTGAGAGAGAGGAATTACGTTTAATGTCAGATTAATACTGCACTGCTGCTTATTTGGTCGTCAACCACGAGCTCTAGCGGCATGAACCATTGCATAGAATATTTGCCTGCATGGTTGGTAACGTTCGTAGGTTTATTGAAACAATTCAAGGGCAGAAATAAAAAATTTTTATTTCACAATTTGCGTATGTTACAAATATGCTAATAAGTTGATCTTTATATCGTAGCAACACGTAAACTCGATCAAATATTTAATGACTTGGTTAGAATTGAATGCTCGTCTCTACGTACGAATGTAAGTTTCATAGTTATTTATTCGTTTACTATAAATATTAATGTTTATATTTCAATGTTATTCCGATTACAATTTTCAATTTAAAATATGTAAATTTGATTATATAATCTTTGCGAAACAATAATTAACATGTTGAAAACTTGAGCTCTGTCGTGTTTTCCGCTCTTGAACAACATACTTCATGCTTTAATGACTGATATATGTATGTAACATGTTAACGTATCAATTGCCAGATAACTTGAGCAAACTAAATTTATTTTCTCAAAAATCTTATAAAATTATTCAATTTATCTCGTTTTTTATATTCCAGCTAATTTCATTTTTTTGTAACAGTTATAGATAGTAAAGTTATCGCGAGAGACACGTTTTTCAAACTAATCTCATTTCGCGGTATAAAATAACATGTGTTCATAGGATATTTATGAATTTTTTAGTTTGTCTACAAACACGAAATCGTGAAGTAATTGGATGCATCTGACACGGTTGTATTGGGTGCCAATTGGCTACTAATCGGTCAGTATTGAGTAGCAAGTGCAAGTCATTCCGTGCATAAAATTTCTCGTCAAAACACCTAACGCAGAATTTATCATGCATCTGTCTGCAATTCCAACTTACAGGTAGTGAAATTTTTTATTTTCAATTTAACCGTTTCTATTACTATGGAAATTCAATTCCTTATTAAAAAAATGTTATAGTTATAATTACAGTTAATTATTTAGTATCAGATCGTTATTGAAGTTTGAACCGAAACGTTTGTTAGATTTTTACCATTGAATTTAAATTGTAAAATTCTGATTATTATTATTTTGTATTATGAGATATGCATTTCTTTTTTGCATGTTTTTTTTAAATTGGAAAACAAAATATGATTATTGAGTAAAAAATGTTGAGAATATTAGGGCTCAAGTCTCACTACTTCGACAAGAATAGTCTTGTAGAAGCGTAAGAAATTATTTAACGACTGGTACTGGTGATTCACACTGTTCTTTTTTCTCTCGTTTATCATGTTATGCGTAAGTGGCGGTTGCTTGTTCGTGCTTGGTCACTATTGGCCACGTTCTTTTAGTCTTCAATTTATATTATTTAAGAACAATTGACTTGGTCGACCGGTTGCTTTTTAGGGGGACCAATCTGAGTTCCGACCGTCCATAATATTAAAAGAGTCATATATATAATACTTTATGTAACTTGCAATAAATTTCTGTCCTAGTATAAATTGTTTATTCTATTCATAGTTATTCATAGAATGCTATTTCAGTCCTAGAATATAATATTGATATCGCATAATTTTAGAGATTCGAATTGTTACAAATATCAATTATTTTGTATTAAATTTTCCTTATCATTTTTAAAAGATTGTTATTTTGTTGATTAGAAAATTTATGGGTTGTTGGATAGCATTATAAGATAAAAGCCATTTTTTAAATAAATATTAATCAATGAAGCAACAATCTTTCATGAAATAACAATGAAAATCTTATTAAAATTCCTTTTGCGATGTTTATAAAGTTTCCAATAATATTTCAAGATTAAATCAACTTTTTAAATAAATATTAATTGCTTTGTTTTGATCCAAATAGCGTTCGAACGAAAGCGCTTTTATTGACGATTCAATATGGCGGGCTTTTGTATCCTACTGCCACCTAACGGCGCTTTCCCAAAGTAGATTACGATTCGAAAAGGAAGCAGCCAGTCTGTTTCGGGTATTTGGACTGGTTGGATGTATACGGATCGTGTTCTTAAATGTTAGCCGGTGACTGACTGTTTTGATGTGCTCTAATGTCATTCACTTGAACAAGTCGTGAAATCGAACTCTATTTGTTCGCGAGTGCTCGCTGTTCTGTAATCGTGGAATACATCATTCGAACTTCTGTCGCTTTCGAAACCGATAATTCGATTGCTCTTTCGAGATTCGCGAGAAGTGTGTCAAAGTCGATGTAACGTGTTTCTGTGCGTCCATAGTCAACCGTAGCTGTAAGTGTCTCCGGGCTTCGGATACGGTTCCCATATTCCAATAAAAAATGGTAAGTCACCGAAAGTATCATTTCATAATATTGACGTTACAAATTATGTAATCGCGAGGAAAGTAACTTGATAGAGGAAATCATTGTGATTGTCGTTCTGATTATATTTTCGTCAGTGCTGTCAAAATATTTGGGTGTCGATAAAATCTCGATTAACCGCTTTGCCCTGTGGTATGGAATCAGTAAAGCATTTTTGAGATATTTAAGGCTTCAAAAATCTACAGAATGCATATAACATGCAAAAATATATGTTTAAAATATTCAAAGTAGATCAATTATTATGACGTTTAGTAGATAAGACAAATGTTTATTCAGATTCCAATTTTTTAATTAAAAAATCAAAGAAATATAATATCGTATTCATTATGTTATTCGTTATGTGGAATGAAGTTAAATATAATAGATTCAATTTTAATTCTGACTTTAATTCAATATTACAAGATTATCGAATGGATTATCGAATATACCAATTACGTAAATACAATATTTCAATGTTTCGTCTTAGACGATATACGAATGGACCAATCACACGATATATTGTTTGAAAAGGACCAATTACAACGACAGCAGATTCTACTTGACATATGTAGGTATTAAAGTAATATTTCAGTTTAACAAGGACCAATCACGAGATATATTGTTTGAGAAGAACCAATCACATCGTTCGAAGGATATTTTACTGGTATTAAAAAATACAATTTTGATTTTAACTTCACTTCAAAATTAAAAGATTATAAATAAGTTAACTAGTTAGTTATAGTTTATCCTTTACCTCCAGTTTACGAATCATTGATATAAATTGCGTGTAACATATATGTAAATGTTTCGCATTAGATCGAAGAATTAAATAGCTAACGTTGACGTATATGGTTAGGGAAAAATTGATATGGCAAGAGGTTAATTCGATCGAATCGTCGCAGAGCTCGTATCGCGTGTGAATGAATCTTGGACGGAGCTGTGCATCGATGATGACAGCTTCGTAGAGCAGTCAAGGTTATTTCATTTCTCTCACTGTGCCTCATGAATGGATACCTGTTCTCTTTGCCCTTTAATCACCGTAAAAAATCCTAGAAATACCATCAGATGGTATACTCGATGGAAAATCTCACGTATACACACTTTTATACTAATCTAAACGTTATTTTATGGGCATCTCTATAAATCAAGCAGCCTCGTAGATGGAATATTCCATAATCGAGAACTTGAAATGAATATAAGTAACGAACGAAGACTGATTTTTTAAATTGAAGAGGGTATAAACTTTACGACTGATTGAGACTCAAGTGTCAGAACAATTTATCTTATTTAATCTTATATCTTTCCATTTACAAAATTGTACTTTAGGTGAATTATTGCTTTTACCAATATTATATTTAAGATTAATAGATAAATATTCCATAGATAGATAAATGTTCCATTGTGACTACAGAAAGTATCGCACGTAACCTTATTTAAGCACTTTTTTTTTATCACCTCCTTTCCTTGTATCGCTTTCATAGTATTAAATTTTTGTAGTTATATGCAAGTACTACTAAATGATATGAAACTTGATATACCAAGGTATACATATAATATATAACAAGGTATATTATAACAATACAACGATGTAAAAGTACCCTTTGCAGCCACTGTATTTCTCAATTTTATCGAACAATTTTATCTTTTACTCAATCATATACTCAAATACTATGTTTTTCCAAGTATTCTACGCAAGATCACGTGGAAAATACAAATTCTTAAAAACGAATAACTCTGTACAACGACAGTTCAGTTTGTAAGCAGTAAGAGCATCCCCTGGCGTATTTACGGCAGAGATGCACTTACGTGGATACTTTTAACATTCGGTTGGAGTCATTGCCACGCTTTATAAATATTCAACCGTTCTATAAACGCGTCGGCTAAGCGTCGTATCACGTGCACCGCTTCTCGTCGCGTTTTCTTACCACCGACACATATGATGCATTCTCGTCGTCGATACGGCGTTTCCTCTCGCGCCGGTGCGTGTCTCGCCACTGCTACGATGTTTTGATCGTTGCGTTGCATCTGCATACGCGTCGCGCTAATTGCTTCACGTTCCTGCCTGCCCTTAATTGTTCTCATAAATGTAACGAGCGCATCGTCTCCGTGTTACGGTGACGAATGGTCAGTTTCACGATACACTGAATATCTTATGAGCACCGGTATCGCACATTGGTCTTATTTTATTGCTCATGAAATTATACAGGGTGGTTGGTAACTGGTGGCACAAGTGGAAAAGGAAGACGAAAATATAGAATAAAAATTCCTTTTTGTTGTTTTTAAATTTTTCCATCGAGACAACGATCCACAGTGAGATCCGTTATAACGAGACGCGATACAGTGCGCGCGTACCGAGCGAAAATTCAAAGTCGATTTTTTCGAAAAAAAGCCTCGAACGAAAAATTTGTATTGTATATTTTCGACTTCTTTTTTCGCGTAGAATCACCCCCTTTTCGCTTCTACCACCAGTTACCAACCACCCCGTATATACTATGCTCGAGAATGTTTAACATTACATCGATTGTTTTTTTGCATTTTAAATTAGAATATTAAAATATCGCCGCGTAGATTAGAACGTCCTTAACATTCGCTGCCTTGTTAATTTTTTATGTTTCAAGTCAGAGTTTCTTTAGCAGTTTAGGAAATTCGTATACGAACACGATTATTTGTGCAGCGTTAAATGCACGATTTTTCAAAATGTACAGTTTATTTATCGTAAAATCATAGAACGGTAATTTCAGTAGTTTATCTTGCAGACATTTGATTTGGCGAAAGGCTTGCCACCAGATCATCGTAGAAATGCGATCAATTTTGCAGCAGGAGTTCACCATTGTAATGGAAGATCACACGTCTGTGGGAAAATTGGTATCATCCGTAAGCAATTCTCCCTTCCTTCTTCTTGAAACGTGCTGGCTCTCGAATCCTCACAATTTCTTACGTGTGTTCGCTTCTTGAAAATTCCAGGTTCCCAATTCTTCGTTTTCCAGCGATCGCTTTCATGAAATTCCTCAAGGTTTATTTCACAAGAAGAGATTCAAGTCTCTAATGACAAAGCGGTTAATGGAAAGACACGATTGTGTTAAGAATTTCATCGTGACGAAACACGCAGTGATCTCGTCGAAAATAAATATATTATATACCCGTCGGTTGGGCATTATCGGCTAAGGCAAGACACGGGCACGAGTGCTCGTGCAAGTCTTTTCATTCAGAAGTAATGGATTTCCAATAATTCACGCTCACAACTAAAACCACCAGTCAAAGAGTATCGCATACATGCACGAGCGCAGGGTTAAGAGTCGGGTAGCTCGGACATTTTTTCTTTTTTCTACCTTGACGATATTGAAGGCCCGTGGATTGACAGATGACGCGTTAAACGTTAACTTTGATCCCTTTATCGTCCAAGGGCTTTTGCTTTATTCCTCGTATCCTTAATTTATGCTCGGTTTATGCTCAATTCTCTGTCGTATCTTTAATACCTCAGAATTAGAATTTTCCATTCAACTTTGAAGCGTAAGAGAAAGAAAAAGTTATTCGCGTTATCGGCTAAGTAGCTTCTTAACGTCAGTTTGGTTGCTCTTACGGAACAGACTTGTAGAAGATTTTATACTTATTTAGAATTCCCTCCACTGTTTGTATTTTATTGTAAAAATTGTATTTATAGTGTTGTATGTTTAGTAATTGTAACATAGTGTTGAAGTTATTCTCTTCACAACTTCCTCCTCTGTTATGTACTATATCATACTACATCGATTATTCTCGTAATGTTAGCGTAATGTTAAATTTATATAGAGTCGTATGTAACGTTGTATTCGCAATATGCGTTGGAAATGATATTCATGGTGTTAGATCCGTTCTACCTACGATTGTAATTTTTCCAAAACGGAGATAAGTACAGGAAACAATGTGTAAAATCTGCATTTATCTGGAGAATACGTTTGCCAATTTATGCAAGAATTTACGAATACTTACAACAATATCTGAAAGTAGAGATTTTTCTACTAAAGTTGAACTTTACATTCGGTTCCCTTAAATTACAAACTTTGCCACTTGGCCATTAATCTCTGCGAAGCTTCTCCGACTCGTTAATCATAATAACCGTTCTATACCAAAAATTCATCCCATACCAAAGAATCATTTTTCTTTGTTTCTTTGTTCGAATTAATCTTTCTCTGTCGAATTCGTACGAAACAACCATCTCTCCCCATCTCGAATTCGCAGTCCAAAGATCGTGCTACTTCCCCGCTAAACTTTCCGAAGCTCCTCCGATTTTCATTCATCGTAACCGATTAATGCAAAAAATTCGTTCCCCCTCTTCCTGATTTTATCCCAAGCGATCGCGCTCCTTCTTGCTTCCAACGTACGTCGAACACTCGTTCCTCTCTGCCGATTCTGTACCAGAGAATCGTTCTTCGTCTAGATCTTCCGCGAAACATCCGTTACTTGTCAAACGTATGAAAAACCCTGTAACGAAAAAAGGGTGGAAGAAGAAACGAGCGAGTGGCAAAAACACGGAGGAACGTAACGGACTCGGAAGATCGCGCGTGAAATCACTTTCGTTGTGAAAATCGGTACGCTCGCGCATCGATGGCGCGATTATAATCGGCACGTGCAGCTAGTAACGGCATTCCTGGTTGCCGTTCCCTCGCGAAAGCGGCTTGTTTCGACGCTCTGTCCCGAGAACTAGGCGAATCCGACTCGT